GAGTTTTACTTTTAAGTGTACTTAAAATACACTTATTTGTAAGTGTATTTAATTTAGTTATAATGTAAATACAATAAAAATTAAACCAAGCTTTAGAGTAATTATCATTTATGATACATACATTGGTAATGTCTGAGTGGRCCTCGTGCCACTTTATGTTCAATAAATTAGGCCCCGAGGTCAAAAAGGTTAAGAACCCCTGCTTTAGTGAACAACAAAAACTGGACAAAAATGCCTAATATTTGGACAGATCCAACAATATACAAACTAAAGCATCTGCCACATATCCAACATGTTTGCAGGGATACATGGGAAGATCTAATCTCTGCAGACATCTRGACCTGGATTTAAAAAATACTCAGCATTTCAGAAGCCTTACAGCTGCAACATTAAGAATAATCTTGTGTTTGTGAAGAATCATGTCCACAAAGTAAAACAAGCTTAAACATGTTCAGTGAATGTATTTGTTTCCTTATCTGCAGCTATTTTCTGTACAACATTGCTCAACATCCCTCACTCATGCAGACACACAGCGCTGCAGAGTGAGGTGAACCAGATCAGCCAAAACAGACACACAACCTGACACAGATTCAGACAGTATCAGTCTGAAGTTAAACACATGAACACAGTGGTCAGACGCTCTCTGGAAGCTGAAATCGGGGAGCGGACATCCACCATGACCCGTTCCTGTAAATGATATGGTATTAATGGTATTAAGTTCCTGCCGCTCTGGCTCCTTTCTCTCATACCAAACCCATAAGCTGTCACTTGGTGCACGCTCACACTCCATGAATGCAGGGCCATCAGAAAATTATTACTCATGTTACACACAAGCGTGTCCAAACAGGCCTGGTCTGTGACACCCTGCATACTGGTTCGATGGAATACCAAACCACATCAAACAGGAGGAAGTGTCCTGGGAAATATCACACCAGAAAAACTCAACCAGCAAAGAACATTTTTTTTCTGAAATGCACCAGAAAAAAAAAAAAAAAAACACCACTGTAATGATGCAAACAAGCCCAAGCATTTACAGGCTTGTGGTTCAAACGTTTAAAGCTAAAATGATATCTTGTATCTGGTCATAAAACTGAAAAATATTTCAGGAATGATAATTGATGACAGCTGAGGTGCAGATTTTAAGACAGACTTGTTTTATCAGGTTTGGATAACGACGAMACTCAGTATATTTTACACTTTCTCTTCACTCTTCAAATATAACAGACTGGTTTTATTGTAAATGTTCTTTAGCAACATATTTACTTGTTCCAAAGCTTTGACACAACAAATACATGATTTAAACAAACTTCTCTGAAAGGAGGAAAGTGCACACACAATGCAAAAAATACAAATTTAAGGGTCACTGTTAATTACAAATTATTTTGTCAAATACTCATTTTTGTCTGGCCAAAACTTTTAATTGCTTAAATGTGATCCAACACATCAAACTGAGGATTAGGTCAAAATGACTTTTTTAGATTCCTGCTTTTAATATCTGGATCATCCTGATGTCATGAGCGCTTCCAGACATTTGGCTTGATTTGTCAGATAATCCATTCATATTAGGTCTGAATCCTATTTTTAGAAGTATTTTTGACGTCATTATAAAGAGGAAACCTCAAACAATTTTTGGATATAGAGATTTACCAGCTGGAAAGATAAACAGCTTTGCTAGTTCACAGGGAAAATGACCAAAAAATAAGACTTTTATGTTTGAAATCAGGTTTTTGTTGCTACGGCACAAAATCAATCAATTAGGGGTGTCCTGATACAACATTTTCACTTCTGATATAATAACGATATTGCAGTCTTGAGTATTGGCCTGATATGAAACCAGAACGAATCATACATAATTTATTACCTTTTTCGAAGCGTGGAATCTTAAAAAGTCTTGATCAGGTCAAACAGTAAACAATAGTCAACAACAATAGGGTTACACAAACATAAGAATAATGTATAATTAAATACAATGAATAAATAATAAAATAGAAGACCCTGAACAATTTCCTCAATAAACCCAATAAAAACAAAATGTACTTTTAAAAATGTAAAATAACTATTAAGTTATTTATGTTGGATCAAGGRCTGTTGGATAAAAATCCTAAGCGGACCACTGGAGTGGACTGCTTGTATCAGAGAGCTAATATCTGACATTTTAGCTACAGGCTGATATATTTTTTGGCTAATATTGGATCGATATCAGATACTG